GGGGGAGGGGGGGGGCGGGGGTTAGTCACCGCATGACCTGTACTTGACATCCCCGCCCCACTCATGGTTTTAACTTCCATATTATGACTTTCAAAAAGTTCCTTGTCAACACTGCCAAATGGTTTGAATCTATATATTTTTTTTTTATATCAATTGAACAAAGGGCAAAAATAAGATAATTGTGGACGCTGAATTACTTCACATTATAAATATGATTATATTGTATTTTAAATAAAATTAGTTTAATCCTTACTTCTTAATTCAGAGTGAATGACTGCAGATTTGGTCTATGATGCATACATATGAGTTTCCATAACGGAACGAACTAGCCATCCATCCGGACGAAGCATTATTATGCCAGTGTCAGTTAAGAACGTAAATGCCTCGTTCATCCTCTGAAAGGAATTCACCTATATCCTCCATTTCATTTTCATCTCTGAGCAGTAAGAAGGATGGATGGATGGATGGATGGATGGATGAAGGGAGCGATCCTGTCCTCCATCTCTCATCCTCCTTGCCTCTGACCTTGACTGTGAATTATGGGATGTCCTGCCAACAGACAGGGCGCATAGGCCTGGTATTGCAACAATCGAGACAATGCCACCGCGTTGATGCAAGCGTGGTCATGGGGCGGGTGATTGAGTGAGAGGAGGAGGAGGAGGAGGGATAGAAAGATGCTTCTTGAAGGCGCCGTTGCCATAGGTAACCTGCACCCGTGCCAAGAAGAAGGGGTGCCTGACCATTTGCATGTACTCAAATGTGGCATGAATAATTCACTTTGGAGCCCTTCGCCCCCGCATGGCGGACAATAGCTGTTCGCACATACACAAAATCGAAAAGAAATGTGACGGCAGGACAATAAAAGCATGCCGAGATGTGATTGGGATGCATGCGGCATCATATTTCACATGGTGAGTTCTACTGTCTCGCTCTGAATGACCTCAATCACAATGGACACCGCGTCGACAGGCTGCTGGATTCCAGAACAACAACCTATTTGTGCACGCTTTCTTAAAAAAATAAAAAAAATGGGGAACCCTTGCGCTGTTTAAATGTTCCCTTTATTTTTTTGGGAGCAATTATTTAAAAATAGAATGTAAAAAAAAAATTACCCTTGCGCTGTTTAAATGTTCCCTTTATTTTTTTTCGGGCAGCAATTATCTATAAACACATACAGTGAACCCAATTCAATAGAATGTAAAAAAAATGAAACCAATTTTCCTAAATTTTGGCTTCAAATCAATGGCTATTGTTCTGCTCCTTTTTGTGTGCATGCTTTGGTCTGCTAGGGCAGTATATTCCATCCATTCATCCATGTGCTACTCCGAAATCAATGGCTATTGTTCTGCTCCTTTTTGTGTGCGTGCTTTGGTCTGCAAGGGCAGTATATTTCATCCATCCATTTGCTACTCCACTTATTCACACGAGGGTCTCGGGTATGCTGGAGCCTATCCCAGCTTTCTTCAAGCGGGGGACACCCTGAAATGGTTGCCAGCCAATCGCAGGGCGCACATGGACGAACAGCCATTTCGCTCACAATCACACAAAGTCACAATTTCGATTTTTCAATCAGCCTGCCATGCATGTTCTTGGAATGCGGGAGGAAACCGGAGTACCCGGAAAAAACCCACACAGGCATCGGGAGGATATGCAAACTCCACACAGGAAGGCCGGGGCCGGAATCGAACCCTGCACCTCTGCACTGTGAGGCAGACGTGCTAACCAGTTGTCACTGTGCCGCCAGTATAATACAGACAAACCAATATAGTGTCTTGAGATGATCTCAGTTCTTCATTAAGCTGCAGTAA